TTTTTCTAAGGAGCCTTCAGGGAATTGCACCTACGATCAGCAGATCGCGAGTGCAATCTCGGGCTCCTGCAGTCTATCAGCATAGCTGTCTGCCCACTCCTCGAACAGGCAGGTACTTACTTGAGAGCAATACAAATCAGGTCAATGCAGCGTTGTAGTTTGAAAGGGAAACATAAAAAAAAAATGTTTTTTATGTGTCTATGCGCTGACCTGCATTTTACAAGTGCACTACAATGCAGATCAGCAAAGGTCAACATGCATTAAAACACACAAAAAAAAGATGGAAGTATACATTCACTCTTTTTGTATTTTACATTTTTCAATGCAAATTCAGCCTAAAGCAGAATCATAAATAAATGTAAAGTGTAATTAAAATTTTTGCTGCCAAATTGGGATAATACCTACTTTATATTTGTTACACATTCCCATTCGCATAACTTAACTGAAAAATTATTTTAAAAATACTGCTTATCTTTTTAGGTGCTTTTAAACTAGGTACCTAGGCATCCTCCTATGCAATGTTAAGGATGAGGCTGTGGAGTAATTGTCCTTTCACACAATACTGCACATAAAACCCCTCCACAATGCTTTGAAAATGTTTGTGTTGACATTAATTTACCATGCATTTTTCTTGTTCAAACATTTTTTATTGGAGGATTTACATACAAATCATCGGGGAGCAGACAAAGTCAGTATGAAACATTAGTGACCTACAAGCAGGGAGGGACATTGAATAACAGATACAAGGCCAAATTGGATAAACAACCACTTGTGTTAATACCAAAATAGATGTTCCCTGAGGTTAACAATAAAAGAGAATCAAACCAATGCATATACATAAAATGCAAAGGATCAAAGAGATCAAAATGGTAGAGAAAGATGTTTTCCCAACGATAGCTCAGGTAAACTGTAAGGTGAGTAAAAGCTAAGGATGGAAGTAGTAGAATTCAGAAAAGTAGGGGGAACGGAGGGGGATCCCAGGGGTCATCTGAGTAGCAGCATCAACCTGAGTGAAAGTTGATCAAAGTCACTGCGGGCATTAGGTTCCAAAAGAAATTTATCGAAATCTGGCGGCAAGTGCTTGTCAACCCAGGGCTGCCAAAGTTTGTATACTTGCGAACTTTGTCCTCCAAGGTAGCCTCAATCTTAGCATGTAACAAAGCTTGGATAACCCTATGTTTGATAGGAAAACTACACAGTGCAGGCATTTTCCAAGATATGGCAATCGTTTGCTTAGCAGCTTCGATAGGCTACTATTCAACAGAGCAATCGGTTGGATGGCATTACCAAATAACTGTGAGAAACGATTTGGAAAATGTAGGACTAGAAGGACCAAACCTTTCGGAAGGCCCACCAGATATTAAGATATGAACAGGGTGCTCTATAACCACAAAAAGAAGTGGAGGGTTACCCCAGAACATACTTCGCTTTTCTTGTTGGTGCAAAGTGCCATATAAATAGTACTTTGTAGGCTATTTCTAATGCTGAGATATTTTGTGATGATTTATGGTGGCTAACCAAATGTCTGTCCAATCTCAAGTACTAAATTCAATTCAGCTCTCCACTGTTTGACATAAGCCGCAAGGGCGGGGGCTTTAAGAATAGTTAAAGCTTAGAGATCACCCCTTTTGCGTGTGGATCAGCTGTACATAAAAGCTCAAACATAGTTACTCGTTCAAGGTCCTTTTGTGATTGGATTGTCATGGCTTAAAAGTGCCTAACCTGAAGGTAACAAAACACCTTGGAACTCAGAAGTTTATTCTGATCCTGCAGTAATTAGAGGGCTTACAGCCAGTGGAGGTGATCAGATGATGTAGTCTCATTAGATGTAACTGAGACCAATGATAAAAAGTGATGGGGAAACAAACGCCGGATAAAATGCTGGGTTATGGAAGAAAGAGAGCATCAGGTTATGTGGAGATAACAGTTCCGATATGCGTTTTAGTCCGTCCCAAAGAGTTAAGAAGTTATGGGGTTTGTAATCATCCGTTCCTTTGGCTGAAGTCAAAGTAAGTTATTGATGAAGTGGGGATCACTGTCCATTGCTTCTAAACTAACCCAAAGGGGTACTTTTCGAGTTGTGTGATATTTTAGGAGTGAGGCCAGTTGGCCTGCCTGCTAATATTTTGAAAAGTGCAGAATACTCTGTCCTCCCTCCAGTTTGGGTTATAGTAGCATCGATCTAAGAAGTGGTGGTCAGACCGTACCCCATATAAAATGAGAAACACGACGTTGCAATATATGAAGAAAGTAAGATGGGACTGCTATTGGCAGAACTCTGAAGAGGTAAAGAATTTTCAGCAGCAATGTTATTATCACTGTAGAAATCTTGCATATCCAGAATATCTGTGTTGAAGACCACGGTCTGTCAAGTGGGTCAGCATGGGAGGGTAATAAAGAGAGTCAGGAGAACTAGTGAGGTTTATATCCAAATACTTCAGACCATGTAAAGGGAAACGATCTACGCAGGGTTTGAAACTCCGCCATCGTTAAAGTAATATTCAGGGCTCTCCATTTAGTGTGATTGACCGCTAGTCCAGAGATTCAAGCAAACCTGTATAGTGGGAGATTTAATATGCATTTTAATGCACATTGTGGTGCATTACGTTTCTTTTTCATGTCTTCTGTATGGAAGACAGGTTCCTGGAAGAACAAAAATTCTAACATCAGTTTATTTATTTACATCTCTACTTTAAGCTGTGCTGTATTAACAAACATTTATGTGCTTTGCGTTAAAATGCAGACAGGTTGCGTTTTAATGCAAAACACTGTATTGCACTTTACACAACATTGTGGGGTGAACAAGGCACATAGCAAACCATTGTTTTCTATGTGCTGTTGCAGTGACCTTCACAGATATGATGTCTAAAATTGCAAGTTGCCCATGTGATTGATCCCTAATATTTATCAAAATTAACCCTATCTGTACTGTGCTGGCAGATCTCATTAACAGCTGTAAACTACCAAAAGGTTAAAAGATCTCAAGGCTTAAACTCTGCATTGTATGTAATGAGTCCCTACTTTTTTCCCTCTGACATTGTTCAGAATAGCTTGCATGTGTATAATCCTGCTAAAGAAACAGCTAGAAGGGTAGGGAATATTTTTTGATGTGTGAATGGGAACACATAAAAAATGTAAATATGACTGCTAGAACGTAAATACAGTAAGTCCCCTACTTACGAACGAGTTCTGTTTTGGGAGTGTGTTCGTGAGTCCAAATTGTTTGTACGTTCAACAAAGTACGGTTTATATTACTTTTCACACAAACAATGCACAAAAATCAACACAAGAAATACTGTAAAGAAATGATGTTTAATCTTACAGTACCTTGAAAGGTACAGCAGCACAGTACAACAGCTGACATACAGGGGCTGGCATGGAGTGACCAGACAAGACCGCTGCTTTCATGCTTGCTTCCAGACATCCTAGGCTTGAAATCAACACTGTACTATACAGTAAAGTACACAGCAGAACAACCGCTGGTGGCAGAGGGTGCAGGCAGCTGACAATGGCCGGTAGGCACATGAGCTACTTTTGTGACTTGGCATGTGAATGCATGTTCCTATCTTTGAAAGTTCACAATTCAAAGTTTCATAAGTAGAGGACTTACTGTACATTTAAAGTGTCATGTCAGGCTAGCAATCCTGTTGCTGGCAAGACTGCCAACAGTGGAGAAGAGAGAACATGTATCTGTTTCTACAGCATTGCTCCAATCTAGTAGGAGTTGTTCTATCATTGATGAGTAAAATTCTGTAGCTTTTATTGAACGAGGGAGTGAAGCCATAGGAGAAGGTGAGTGCTCTTTCTAGAAATCTTTTTACTACCAGCGACAGGATCAGTAAAGTAACATGGCCTAAAGCATTAAAAGCAATGATTCATAATAATGCATACCTGACTGACAAGCCTTTGATGAAAGCAGGTATTCTGACCCCTGACCACAAAACTGCACTGGAGCTCGAACGTTTCTTGGTGGGGTATGTTTTGTGCTCACATATTTCTGTTAATATGCAAGGTATGTAGGTTACTCTTCCCATTTCTTCATATTGTAGACATTTGAAAGATTAAAAAAGAAAAGGCCAGTAAAATCACCCTATAAACTACAATTTTGGTGTTGGAATGTGAAAGGACAAATTTGGTAGTTTGCTGTAAGAGCCCTATTTTACCTGTGACAACAGTTCTGCTGATCCTTTTGGTTATTATTACAGGTTAGGAGGATTCTCCATGCATTAATCAGATGCAGGTTTTCCATTTAAATGTATATTGATAAAATACTTTTTTGTACCTCAGAAGCGGGAAACACATACTTTCAGTCATTCAAGCATCACTTAAATCCATGTCTCAATTTGGAAGCACAGCATAAAATAAATAAATCTAAAGTCTAAATGATAAACTTTACTAATTGTTGATCCAAAATAGAAAAAAAAAAAAAACAGTTTCTCCTATGCCAAGATGGCTGTATTCACCTCCCAACTCCTTTTTCAATCAGTTATATAGGCCTAAGCAAACCTATGTTGAAAATGTTCTACTTAACAATAAATATATATATGTAAATATATATAAATATATATATATATATATATATATATATATATCTTTCTTTTATTATTACTGTGATAATTTAAGTTTTAAAAATTCAAACAGTTCTTTTTTCTACAATTCAGTATTTCTTTTTCAGGACAAAATAAAACTTTTCTGAGATAATACTGGAATAAAGGTTACTAGTTCACATAAAGAAGGAATCTCCAAATTCCAAAGACACATCAAACCCTATTCTTCCATGTGACCAACAAGGAGATGTACTTTAGTCCTCTCTATAGCTATCCTAGCATTGTGAAAATATTCAGACCATACCTACAGGTCATATACAAGTTCTTGGTCCTTGAAGGTTTATGGAATGACCTTCAAAATGGTCAGTCACTGTGTGAACACAGAGGTGGTGTGATATCCTTGAAATGGTTAAAATGCAGAGGCTTTCCACAAAATGGTGGCTAGTTCCCAGGTCATACTTGGGTACTGAGAGCATGTAGCCCTCTAGAAAGATTTGGAGTGCCCATCACAAGTAAAGGTCCAGCCTCTGCATAGTGAGTTGGAGTGAAGGAATCTCTTTCTCTTCCATTGCACATGGTATCTGCAGTCCGAATGATATAAGGAGAGCCATATGGAGAGTAAGCTGGTGCCACATATGGAGGAAACACTCCATCAAGATGGGCAGAAGAGCAGTCATGGCAGGGAAAGTGGGAGTGAGGTTGGTGAGCTGGATCCTCTTCTGCCTCACCATGTAGCTCATCTTTTTTACAGCAGTAATACTGTAGTAAGACAAAAATAACAAAATTAATATTTTACCTTGGTTCTTGTATTAAGGGCTTTTATCAAACTTTCTGCATAGGTTACTCATTGTAAGCAATCAGACATTTTATTTTCTAAACTGAAAACAAAAACAATAGCTTTACAATCAAATGTATCGGTCAAGCACCCATTATTATAAGGCTTAAAAGACTTGCAGAACACTAGAAATCAGTCATTATGTAATGATTGCAGGAGTAAAATATCTGGAGGTGAAAGTGTTCCAGTATCTTCTTCTGATTGTAAAGGACCAACTCTAACAAACAAGAAAATTGATTAAATGTACCTAAATTTGAAAAGACCATTACCTTTTTACTAAGCCCCACCTTTTCGAAACCTTTCTATTTGGGATGAAAACTGGAACTACCGGTATATTTATTACATCATAGAGTCGGAAGCCATGACAGACATACGTTTAGAAATGAGCAAGATGCACAATTAAAAACACATTTACCAAAGCTATAACAAATTGCATATAATGGAATCTTGCTTTGGGGTGGGGGGGGTTTCCTCCTTCCTTCCTGATGGAAATTAATGTGTTTGTATGCTATATTGCCAATAGCCTCTTCCACTTGGCAACTGAAAGGGAGGATAGGTACCCAAAAGAGGCAGTGTACATATATACTGAATGTATGTGTGTATATAGCTCTTAGATTGTAAGCTCAGAGGAGCAGGGCCCTCCTATCCCTCTTGTATTGAACTGTATTGTTGCTGTATTGTCTCCCGTTATATTGTAAAGCACTGAGCAAACTGTTGGCGCTATATAAATCCTGTATAATAATAATAATATAGCGCCAAGGAAGCTGGGGTGGTAAATAGGTAGAGGTTAGGGAAGTCTCTCCTATTAAAAGTTCAATGAAAGTCTACATAAATGGCTGCAGCTCCCTTGAAGAGTAAAGGATGTACACTCTCTGGTCTATAAAACAAGAAAAAGAATGGAGCGCCACCTCCTAAGTGCAGATCATATTTATTGCAATCAAATGGTTAAAATGCAAAAACATATAGCATCTTCCAATCCCATCCCCGCAACCCTGCTGAGCTCTGCAGATGGGATAGGAGGATGCTATATGTTTTATCCACTTCACGATGGGAGTGCATTTTAACCATTTATTTGATTCTAATAAATGTCTACATTTAGGGGATGGTGCTCCTTTCTTTTTCTTGTTTCATAGACCCAAAAGAGGCAGAATTCCTTCTTGAAGTTTGGTAACTGTGCAGGCCAGAAACCGCTTGCTGACTATACCACAAATAGTAGATAAAAGACCTAGACTCAGGCAACCTTATCACTAAATTACTTCAAGACAAATCAGTTTGAATGATATAGGCAATGTACAGCTGCTCTTATGCTCAGGCACTCTTTTTCATCTATTTGATAGTGCTATGCGAATGAAGGGTTGCTATCATACAAGTAGAGCTTCAAGCTATCCCCAGGCAGCTTTTCCTGACCCTAGACACCACACCTTGATGAAATCATAAATGTATTCCAGTAATCGGAAGAATAAATGGACAGGATATGTCTCCAATGATGTCAAACTCCCAGTGGACTCCAGTGAGCCTAGAAGAACAGAACGTTTCAGGTAGTGTCACATGTCAGGGATTGCTCTGCTACTTCTAATCAGGAGTGAGAAGCCAAAGATACATTTTTATTGACCGATTTGTGATAATAAATGATACTAATGAATCCGTTAGGCTGAGAGTTTTTAGATTTCAGTATTTTGTGATCTGCATATTAATCTCACCTGAAGCCTGCAGTAACATAGTACTCCAATAATACAAAGTAGTATTACAGACGCTAGGATTCCTCCTGTGATCACTACAGTTCCAGCTGTCATCCGAACAATCCCCCATCAAACCTGAATAGCAGGAAAATGAAAGAGCACAGATCAGCTAAATTCATAGACAAGCAGGTAAAATACAAACAACGATAATTTCCCAAGCTCTTCTAAAATTACGTAAATGGAGTCTTTCATCTTAACTAAATTTGTACATTTAAAGTAGATCCAAACGCAGTCAGTAAAATCTTAAAAAACACTAACATTTCAAAAATATTTTCAAAAGTTGTTTTGAATCTTTTTAACTACTTGCTCTCCTGAGGATTCACCCCCATTCCTGTTTAGGCCATTTTTTGCGTTACGGCCCTGCGTTACTTTAACTGACAATTGCGCGGTCAAATGCCACATCCAAACGAAATTTACGTCTTTTTTTTCCCCATGAGTTGAGCTTTCTTTTGGTGGTATTTGATCACCTGTGCGGTTTTTATTTTTTGCGCTATAAGCAAAAAAACCCGACAATTTTGAGAAAAAAACAATATTTTGGACTTTTTGCTATAAAACATATCCAGTAAAAAAATGTAAAAAATCAAATTTCGTCATAAATTTAGGCCAAAATGTATTCTGTGACATGTCTTTGCTAAAAAAAATCTTAATATGTGTAAATTAATTGGTTTACGTGAAAGTTATAGCGTTTACAAATAGCGGTATAAATACTGGGATTTTTTTTTTCCTACTAGTAATGGCGGCGATCAGTGACTTTTAGCAGGACTGCAGCAGGCATTCTGACACTGGGGGGAAACTAACTTGGTGTCACTGACATCCCCAGTGACACCAATACAGTGATCAGTGCTAAAAAACAGAACTGCCACTGTACTCATGACACCGGGCAGGAAGGGGTTAATGTGAGGGGCGATCAAAGGGTTAACTGTGTGTAGGGAGTGTTTTACTAGGGAGTGGGGGGGGGGGTGTACCTCACTGTAAGCACACTGATTGAGCTGTGTGCCCGAGCTGACAGGGAGGAAGACTGTTTATGAACAAAACAGTCTTCCTCCCCGTTGGTGATTGTCAGTAATCACCAGGCGCTGGCGGGTAATCACCGGTTGCGACCTGGTGATTGACATTCGTGGCCGCGAATGGCGGCATGGGTAGGGCACACGCCCCCTACCCGGAAATGCGAAATCACGTATATATACGTGATTTAGCACACCCGTGCCGCTGTGTAGCAGTATATCCGCTGGTGGGTAAGCGGTTAAAACTTTTATTATCAACACTGTCACTTCTTTTATAGGGTGACAAATGTTTCCCAATTTTTTTGGGGGGGATGTGTACTGAGTAATGCCTGGCACAACAATTCATTTCACTTGAAGGACTTTTTGAGACATTTCTTGGTTAAGACCACCAAATACAGCTAATGCATTTTTAGGTAAAAAAAGCCTTTAATGCCACCAGGAGATGTTAGTCTTCATCAAGCCTTGACATAGATCTCCTAGTACATTTTGTCATGATTTTATTAACATTAACTGCACAAGCCCTGAAGAAGGGAGGCTTTCCATCCCTGAAATATGATGGCTGCTTTTAATGCTCTTAATCATTACATGTTTCAAAAAATCCTTCAAGTGAGAAGAACTTTTGTATCATGCACTCCTCCGTATATATCCAAGATGTTACCGTCTGGCAAGCACTTCCTTTGTTGCTGTCAGAGAGGTAGCAGTCTAGGACCAGAATAGGGTTCATGCATATTATAATTCAACCACGGATCAGGCTCTTTGAAGGAAAAATCACTTTGTGGTAGATCCATAAGGAACATCTTTTACTTCTGTCACTCCAGCACTATCACACACACATGGTTTCTATGCAGAAGGGAGTCTGATTTTGGACTCTCCAGCTTTAGTAAATAAACCCCTCAATGTCCACTTTCATGGGCTTGCGACCTTCGCTCCCTCTTGATTTTTTTTTATTATTTTTAAATGGCATTTTTATTTACTCAGGTGGTGGTTTAAGAGGTGTATGGCCCTTTAAAAAAATCATAGGCAGCTTGGGCAGGAAAGTAGCGCCCCATGTGACCTTTAGAAAGTTCTGGAACCCCTGGGGCTTATATAAGCAGCGGTCTCCTGAGACAATTTGCCAGTTGGTCGGCACCATCCAACGAGCTCCTTGAGCTATAATGCTATTAGGAGCTCGTTGATGAATAGACGGCCATGAAGACCCTGATGCGCCGTGTCCTGGAGTGGGCTGAAAGCAGAGGTGGAAAAGACTGGCTCAGGCACTGTCTGGATATGGACGAGGGAGAAGAGGAGCGGAGGGAGCAAGCTCATGAAGTAGCGGCAGGGGAAGTAGGTGACTCACTGGGCCGGCAACAGTGAAGAATCCGCAGAGTAGGCAAGTCTTCCCAGTCCCGCCAGAAGATGAAGCTGTCATCACTAAAGAGGAGTGGACCGGCCAACGAGTGAAGAGGAGGAGGCGGGTCTACTTGCCATCACCGAGCAGAGGTGGAGGACGCCAAGCCGCAACTCAGCAGGGCTTGGCTGCCAGGATGGCTCTGCCCCTTGAAGTGCAGAGGGCTGCCGAGCAACAGCCAGACCGTTCTTTGTCAGCTAGATCAGAGGAAGGGATGGCATGGGAGCAGGGGCAGACTGAGAACTCATGGGGCCCCTGGGCAATAGGGGATCATGGGGACCCTGTGTCCTCGCCCACACTTAAACCACACCCAAATTGAGAAATGTCCCCGCGTTTCTGTTGTGTTACTGGAGTAGCCCACTGCTCCCCTGTTCCCCATCCAAGTTTACTGAAGAAATATACAAAAAAGATCCCCCTAGACTGCTCACTGAGCCTGTTGAGTGATTGGATGCCTGGTGTGCCGATACTCTAGTTTGGGAAAAGAACCTTGGAGCTACTCAGAGGGCCCTACACTAAAATAAAAGCATGAGCAGAAATAATAAAACCTGCCCCTGAAAAAGATGGTGCGAGTATCTGGGCTGACTCTTAATCATAAGGGGCGGACTGAGAACTCATGGGGCCCCTGGGCTATAGGAGATCATAGGGCCCCTGTGTCCTCACCCACACTCAAAGCACTCCCAAAAAAGCCTATGAAAGGTACTAGGAGCATCTAATGGGGCCCTCTACTGTCCCTGGGCCCTCGGGCAGTGCCCGAGTACCTGAATGGTCAGTCCGCCCCTGCATGGGAGCCTGTGGATGTCATTACCTCACTTTCCAACGGAGGCAGCAGCGAGACACACATGGCTACCAATGCAGCATTTGAGGCTCATGGAAATACTTGAGGCAGTGGTGAGTTACCACAGATATTTTTTCAATTCATGGATTATTTTTCTAAACTAGCAAGCTCTATTTCTTCTTTTAATACCATTAATCCTAATACTAACCTCTCTGCCATATACACCAATACTACAGATCCTTCTACGGTTACTTCTAATATTAATTCGCAACCTTCAATTACTTCTGTGGGTTCTGGTATTCAGACTGGTAATACAGTTCATCCAAATTTATAAGCGGTACCAGAAACTTGCCTTAAAGAAGTATTGCCTTGTGAGATCTCACCACTGGGTTACCATTTGTCTAATATGACAAAAGAAAAAATATGGAAAGGGGTTTATATTGATATTTTGTCATTACTTCCTTTGGTGAAAGATTTTGTGTCTATATCTGAAAAGAAGTCAGAAGAAAAAATGGATGAAGAAAGGCGTAGACCAGTGCAAGATCATTCCATAACTGGCTTCAAGCTTTTTCAATATTTTCTAGTTTTTTGGGAGAAAAGCATCCAGAATTTTGTAGTGGTCTTTTTCAAAATTCTGGAGGTTTGGGTTGTTTTTTTTGTTTTTTTTTTATGACGAGTCTTTCAGACAACAATTAGCAGTATATCCCACTTTATAGTGGGGTATGAAAGATGTTGGTTTTTGGTTAAATTTGATTTAACCACAAAAGCCTCCTTTGGTTAAACAACAGCCTACTGTTTTGATTTCTTCTTACAAAAGCGGTTTTTGTTTTGCTTATAATCAAACACAGTGTAAATGGGCGTCTTCATGTAAGTATACACACTAATGCTCCATTGTTCCGGAACTCATCCGGTCATCAAATGTTTGAAACGGAACAACTCTATGCAACAAAATTCACGATCAAAGTATTCCAAGGGGTCAACTCTAAATGATGAAATAAATGAAGAGTTGGCAGCTGTTTCTTACAGCTCTTTTGAGGAATCTATTCATAAGATCAGACAATTTGTAAGGGAAGCCTTGCTGGCAAAAGCGGATATAAAGTCTGCATTTCATTTGCTACCGATTTCTCCCAATTCCTTCAGTTCTTTAGGAATTCAGTTTAATAGTCAGTTTTATTTCAACAGATGCCTGCCCATGGGATGTTGGGTATCATGCGCTTATTTTGAGTCATTTTCACAGTTCTTACATTGGGTAGTTGCATTTGAATCAGGTGGGGATAGTATTGCACATTATCTGGATGATTTCCTATTGATAGGCCTGCCTGATTCACCTGTGTGCGGTAATATATTGCAACCAGGGGCAGACTGACAATTCATGGGGCCCCCAGGCAATAGGGGATCATGGGGCCCCTGTGTCCTTGCCCAAACTCAAAAAAGCCTATGAAAAATGTACCAGGGGCATCTCATGGGGCCCCCTACTGACCCCGGGCCCTCGGGCAGTGCCCGAGTTTCCAAATGGTCAGTCCGCCCCTGATTGCAACTATTCAGCCTTATCACCCAGCACTTTGGTGTTCCGTTAGCAAACAAGAAAACAGTTTTTCCTACAACATCTCCTGACTTTTTGGGCATAAATATCAACACAGATGTTATGGAATTTAAATGACCATAGTCAAAACTTGATAAATTATCATCCCTAAATCCCTTATAATGTCCTTTTTATGCCGTAAGAGGGAGGTTTTGTTAAAAGACATTCAGTCCCTTCTGGGTTTATTGGCATTTGCATCTAGAGTCATGCCTATTGGCAGAATTTTTTCTCATTGTATGTATTTGGCTATCTCGGGATTCAAATCCCCCTTTTCACATATTCGTTTAACACATGATTTAAAAGAAG